CAAAAGATCGACCATGTCTCACAAACGATCAACCATGTTCCACAAATAGTCGACCTCTGGATATCAATCTAACTTATCTTAGGATTTTTTTAGCTCAATCCTACCATCAATTTAATCCCAGTATCAACCATGTTAATTATTTATCTCTTCTAACCTAATTTTATCAATTAATGGTTGTTCCAAGGTAGTAAAAGAGTCTCTATAGCCTAAAAGATAAAATTACTAACCAATCTTTAATCTACTAACTATTAAGATAAAAAAATAAACTAAGAGATTTTAATAAAAGCCATATTTAAATATCTCGAATTATTATTGATCCAAGATAATTAGATATTAATTCAAAATTTATTTTTTATTATATTTTTACCATATAGTCATATTACATCACGACAATGCAAGGGCCAATATATTGGTGTAAAAAACCAACCAAAAAATTTAATAAAGCAAGATTCTTTTATCTTTGAATATTCAACAAATAGATCACGGCATTATAGCAACTATAGTAGAACAAACTACAACAAGAGGAAATGTGTTGCATTGCATTCTATCAGTATAACGCTAGCAAATATTAAAGAGTAGAAGGTGAGTTTCATATGGACAAGAATTAGATGAGATGCAACATTCTTCCATTCAATACCTATGTACAAGGAAGGAAGATGACTTATCCTACTTATGTATATGCTAGATCAACAATTGCTAATACACAATCATATGTATACTAGACATATTGTGTTTTTACATCTTTGATGTTCAAGATGTATAAATAGATTACAATTATGGATATAGAGAAATTATGCATGCCCTTGGTAATGATCATGATTAGCAATCCATTTGGATCGCAATGGTAGATGTTATATAGAAGAACATGAAAAAATACAATGATAACTTCAATAGACAAGCTTGAATTATAATTACTCAAATTGGTTGCATCAGCTCTCTTACACTTATTATTTTTTGGTCCACAACTCCCAAGCATGTTGTTGTTGTAGCAGACACATTTTCATAGCCACTAGTAATATTCCAAGAAGAAGTTCATATAATACATACTTCATTGGCATATATATTAGAGATCTATATTGTTAGCTATCAGCCTCTAGCTATCATGTACGACTATAAGATTCATCACTTCCAGATGTCAATATTGACGAAACGATCTCTGCTTCCATCTATCTTTGTTTCAAATTTTTATTATCATAAAGTCAAAAATAACATCAATTTTTAGGAGACTATGCTAAGCACCAAACTAGCAGCATGGCTCGATCATCTAGTCTCTATCAATGATGTTGAAGCAGTAGATTGACTACTATTTATGAATATACCACATGTACAAAGCAAACCAACAATTCATTTTATTTTTTTGAATTATTTTTTGAATTTATTTTCATTATTCATGCTTGAATAAAGGGAGGCATATGTGGCAGTAAGATATTGACTATGTCACGACTTACTTCCATTACAAAATATTCCATAAGACATGCCACCATCTCATCAGAGCTTTTAAACATGTCACTATCATTGGTATCCAATTGCAACCAATTGCGCAATAGTAGTGCACAAAAATTGAGTAAATAAATGAATAGAGCAGCATGTACACAACATACAAAACATGGACTATTGCTACTTATTTCCACAATAAGAAGCTTTTCTTGAGAAGCAACACTAGTGTCTTTGACGAGCTTCTTTATATTCAATTATAATAATTTCTTGAAGAAGTTTTGTTTTATATACAATAGACTCAGTAATCGAGTTGATGTAAAAATTGCAATGCATAACATGACATTGTCGTAATACGTAAAGTCTTGCTTGAGAATGCTCTAGGCACTTGGCTGTGGAAGAAAGAATGGAAATTGTAATAATAAAATCCTAATTCTAATAGAATACTAACAATTCTCTAATTAGACCATAATAATGCTAAGCAAGCTTAATCAAATTTAAAAAAACCTCAAAGAAATTTCAAACAAACAATAAGAATTCTTAAAGAAATATTAGAAGGATCACAAATACCACTCAAATACATCTCAATTCAATCTTAATTTAATTCTAGTTAAAATCCTATTCAACTTCATTCAAAATTTAGGCCAAAACTAATTGAATCTTAAATCTTAATAAAATCCTAAAACAAATCCTAACCAAACCCTAAATCAAATCCTAACCAAATCCTAATCTAAATCCTAAATCCTAAACCAAACCCTAATCTAAACCCTAAATCCTAAACCAATCCCTAACTAAATCCTAAACTCTAAATAAACCCTAAAAAACCCTAAATCCTAAATAAATCCTAACAAAAATCTAAACCAAACCCTAAACCCTAAATCAAACCCTAATCCAAATCCTAAATCCTAAACCAAACCCTAGTAATTCCTACAACAGATTTAAACCTCAATAACTAATGAAAAAACCGTTGATCTTAACTCAAATTTTGCAAACTTCTAAAAAAATAAGTTAAAAACAAGCTCTAAAAAATTGAAAAAGATCGGAGTTACCAAATTGATGATAACCTCAAAAATGTGTTCTGGTATTGGCCGGCCTCCTTCTCCAATCTTGATGCCAATCTTCCATAGCCAATATCTCTCCTTTGCACCATTCGATTGATTTCAAAATTCTCATACACATAGAAAAATAAGTCTAATATTTTCTCACATAAGTTTCACTCCAATCCAACTATTAGATTGCAAGAAATCTTAAAAACCCCCACTAGACCTAAAATTCTACTTTCTAAGACCTTGATCCACTTTAACCTCAATATTCCTTAATTCAACCGTTAGATCGAGCTCAAATTCACAAAAAATATTAAAAACAACTATAAACATAAACCCACAAAATTTCACGCGTAGATCTATTACAAAACTCTTGAAATCACCCAAAACGTAAATCCTATTTTATTTCATAAAATCCAAGTCATCCAAAACAAACCTTGACTTTGCAAAGCTCTTACAAAGTCATATCAACACCAAATCACCCAAAATCAACGCCCATAGAAACCCTATCCAATCTTCTATCAAACCCCACTCTCCAATCTACCAAAGAGTCCCGGAGTCGTCGTCGAGACTCAGTTTTGTGCCTCAGGGTCTGATTTCAACCTTGGTTCATAACCGGCCTTTTTCGGGTATCAACATCTAGTTTTTTTAAGTAATTTTTACTAGAATTTACTCTTAACTTCCTCCTAAAGATGTCTATATCATTTATTTTTCCAATCTACTTTATTTTGCCTTATTTTTGGCCCTACAAAGTAAGTAGAAGCTATTTTTTCTAAAAGGGCAGCATTACTACTAAAAGTTTTACTACTTTCCTATCTTTTATCCATATTTTTCTACTTTTTCTTTTAACTTGGGTCTTCTATAATAAGATCCATATTATCAACTTTCACCATATAGTCGTGTTACAACACGACAACATGATATGCAAGTGGTTGATGCATAAGGTGGAGTAGAAATAATTATGAAATCCATAGATTTAAGGAGAATAGGGTGGAAATAGTAAAAAAAATGGAGTAGAAATATCAATTTCCTAAAATATTATTATATATTTTTCAATCTTTTAATATTTTCAAGTCAAATTTGCCATCATTCCAAGAAGTATTTTAGTAATACTAACACTTTTTAATATATATTAATGTGTATTGGTATTGCAAAGTGATTGGATCTTAAATTCATGTCCGTTGTTATTTTTTTGTAAAAAAGAGGAATTTTATGCAAAATTGACTTGGATATATGTTTATTTTCATGTTCATTAAGGTGCGTATGTACATACACACATTGAACTTCAAAACAATACAATTATGTATATACATAAATATTTGGGGCAGTTGTTTAAGTTCTATGAATATTTTATTAGTAATACAAAAGGTGTTTGAATACTTAAATTAGAGTAAATCTTTTTTACCTGCTGCACATAGTTTTGGAATGACTTGGTACTTGGATTCTTGTTTTTCAAGTAGTAACTTGTTAGATTAATGAACAATGTTTTCAAATTCTTTGATGCCAGATTCTTTTTTGTGTCATTACCAAAATAATTTTATAATCCAATTATTTATTTATTTTAGTTTGTCTATACACATTTAATATACCCAAAAAAGAATATTCCAGTCAACCAAGTAAACACTTTTTAACATTAAATTGAGAGACTTTACCACAAGCATTGAGATTAGCAAGTACATGGTTTGTTTTGTTAGTTTCAACACATAAAAGCAACACTTTATCCGTATTTGCAGAATAAGTACCCACCTTGCACTAGCCGTAGCAGAATAGGCGCCCAGCTATTACCTGGTACTCAATGAACAGAAACTCAAAATGGCTCCTTGCACCAGAACATTTTAATAGAATTTAATTTTTTAATCTTATAAAATTCCTTAGAAATGATTTTTTGTTTTTTCAGTTTTATAAAAAGACCTCGTACTAATATTTAAGGGACTCCTGTCAGTTGGTTCCTAGATACTTAGCAACTTACTAGCATGCAATCAATTGTTTGGAACCCATAAAATATTGGTATAAGTTTATTATTGGTTCACAGTTTTTTTAAATGTTTTGGTGGGAGGGGACATTTGAGTATTCTGTTCATCTAGTACCAGGAACAAGCTGGGTACGTATTCCACTACGACCCACTTTATCACGTGAGAATCAAATCTAGGTGCCTCTACAGCGGTAATCTGTGCCATTCTCATCTAGGTACAACTAAATTTATTAATTAGAAAGGTATAATTGGAAAAGTAGATCGCAGTTAGGCTCCACTCAGCTCTTTCTCTCCAAAAAACTATTGATGTGGAATGATCATTTTTGCTTCCAATTGGTTGAGACAATTTGTGTTGCCGTTCCACGTTTGAAGGCAACACCAAGAAAAGTCTGGAGGACAAGAATTGGTGCCAGGAACAACCTGGAAGTTGTGGGTTAGATAAAAAAAACAAAAACTTCGATGTTCCTTTCTGTCAGCTCTTGACTTGGTCTTTAATATCCTAAACATCCAAGCTATACAAAAAGATCGCATTACGAGATCTGTACTTCCGATTATCGTATCGAATGGTATGCTTGCAGATAGCCCTCATGGGACTCAGCCGCACTGACATACTAAAAATTAATTCTCAGAAAAATTTGGCAGTACACTTGCAGGCAGCAGAATGGCCATTCAAGATGTTGCACCACATGTACACACCTAGAATCCAAATATGATGACAGGTCACGCTTAAACCCTAATCTACGCTTCTCGAGAGGTCGTCCATCTCGACGATGAGGAGACCAATCCTTTCTAAACCTACCTAGAACTTCACCAATTTATGTGTACTTCACTCTTTTCCAGCTAGAGAAAGTCCAAACCTTCAGCAGTTTCACGTCTTCTGTAATACTTAAAAAATTACCATATTTCAAAAATAATCTATTGCTTCATTACTAGAAACGATTATGTCTTCATTCATCATCATCTGAATTCTGAAATTTAATAGAGTGTGATGCATTGTCGATAATACCCCCCTTGTATGAGCCTCGTTTCTTCTTTGTTTTTTCATGTCGGAAACCCCTGCACCAAGGTTAGGAAAGGCATTAAGTCAGGAAAACCACCTGGAGTTACTGTACACTAATAGCAATATGAATTAGCATCGAATAGGAAAGAGAAAGTTACATATCTTTAATTGATACTGATCTTATGTGCCAGTTTCGTTGTCAGTAAGTACTTACTTGCCCCGCACTTGGCCAAGAATTTCTTGAGCCTTAGCGCCCCAACCTTCTTCAGCTCCAGACTGAAGATACAAACATAATTTCAAACAAAATTAGTCCAATGATCATAAAAATACTGAGTGCAAGAACCGAAACCTTGGCAGTCAAATAATAGAGTCAAGTGGTGACCTTGCTGCAAAACTGTGAAATATGAACTATGCTCTGGTGAATTGAGCCTTTAAAAACAAACGTACCTTTGCCCAGTAAGAGTTGTCAGCCAACCTAGCATCCTTTATTTCCACCTCTTCCACTTTCACTCTTTGAAATGCTCTCGCAGTAGACGGCTGGACACAGTCATTAGGCCAGGACTTAAGCATACGATTTGCTTCAAAAACAAACAAGTCATCCAAGTACACAACGCTCTGGATGTTTGATGTGCAGATGCAATTCAAACATGAGCGACGCCACGCTCTCAGAGACGCTGTGTGTCTCTCAATTTTATGCTGAAACGGCCTATGTGTAAAGTACATTAACAATGAAACGCAACCTATTGCGAAAATACAAATCCTGTATTTTGGCTCCAACATGTCAATGCAAACCAAGTCAAAATGTTGGCACCATCATTGTTATTTAGACGCAGATAGTTTGAACTTCCTTAACGAACTAACCATAGACATCAAGTTAGTAGACCTACAGTTTTCTGAGCTGATCCCAGCTTCTGCTTTTTCGCTGAATTCATTCCTGCAGAAGTTGCAACAGCGACACCTTCTACGTTGGCTTTTTTACTAACATGACCTGTATCAGCTTCCTCCTCGACAGCCTTCCTCTTCTTGTTTACAGGAGAAGCCACAACCACAGGAGCCACATCCTTTGCAATCTTCACTTTAGACTCCTTTTTTCCCGCAGGTTTCTTCACAACTTCAGATTCATCATCATCTGAAGAATCGGAAGAATCCGAAGATTCCTGTTCACATAGAGTAGAAAAATAACTGGTGAGTAGAGAAAAGCTGGAGGACCTTCAATCATAAATGCTTGATCAAGTTTGTGAAGAAAAAATTCCATATCATGAAATCAACCAGAAATACTATCGCCAAATACTAAAACAACTTCACAACGATGCGCAAGTAAGCACTGACGATACATATAAACAGACACCAACTTGATAAGCGTTGTTTAAGATGCTCTGCAGAACAGGCTGTACAAACAGCATTCAGCAGATATATCGGACAAATTACGAGCAGTATGTTCACAACCTTCTCTGTAAGCAATACTGTAAGACATGCACTGAATCAGATAAGTCACATGCAAGATATTAAACGTGGGATCCGCTGAAAACCTTATAAACTTGTAAGATATGTCACCAAACTCACCAAACTCAGTAGGTGCATGATGAGCAATTCGAAACAGGAAACAATAATAATGATAATAGTACATGATATCTATTGTGTTTAAATCATCAGTGGAAAAGTGAAGAACATAAAACCTGTTTTCCATTAGAAGCCTTCGCGCTTCCTTTAATAGAGCTCTTTATCTCCACGCTCTCGTCACTGCTATCACTGTCATTATCGGAGTCCTTCGCTGACACAACCTTTGCAGTAGCAGGAGTCTTTGCTTTACCAGTTTTTGCCACAGCCTTAGGTTCATCTTCTTCCTCAGATGAAGAGTCGGAGGAAGATTCTGCCTTTTTCACATTGGTAGAATTTGCAACTACAGGTTTCTTTACGTTCTTTTTCTTTTCAGTTTCATCATCGCTATCCTCATCACTAGAAGAATCTGACGAGGAAGCAGCTTTCTTTGCCTCAGTCTTCACCGAAACAGATTTCTGCACTGCTTTAATAGCGGGTTTCGGGTCCACTTCCATCTCATCGTCACTGGAGTCGCTGTCGTCTGAGGAAGAGGACGGCTTTGAAACCTTTTTGTCAGAAACTGCCGGAGTGGCCGTTTTCATATCTATATCACTATCTTCTTCGCTAGAGGAATCATCTGCAGGTTTAACTGAATTCACTGTCTTTATTGGTTGAACTGTAACCTCCTCGTCTGTGCAACACGTTTTCAAACAAATCAATACATATTCAACTATATACGATCGAGTCATAAGGTTAGCGTAATTAAACTGTTTAACCAGGGACAAATTACGAAAGATGAACTCAGCTTACCATCGCTGCTAGAATCATCACTGGACGAAGAACTTGAAGACTTGGGAGCCGCTGCGGACTTCACTCCTTTCGCTGCAGCAGGAGGAGAGGTCTTTGCGACCACCTTCTCATCTTCTGAATCCTCATCAGAATCATCAGACGATGACGGTTCGTCCTTCTTAGAAGCTACTACCACCACTGCCTTTGCTTTCGTCGAGGTTTCCTCTTCGTCTTCCTCCGAATCGGACGAAGACGAATCCGACGGAGCTGCTGTTGTCTTCGCCTTCACAAAACCATTGGTTTTTGCAATCGTCTTAGCGGGTTTGACGTCATCATCGTCCTCATCAGAAGAGGAATCATCATCTGAACTTTCGACCGATACTTTCGTGGCTGGCACAGTCGGAGCTGGTTTCTTTGCAACTACAGGTTTCTTCTTCTCGTCATCAGATTCATCAGAGGAATCGTCAGAATCGTCGGAAGAACTTTCTGGTTCTTTCACAGCAGGCTTCTTAGCGACAGTTTTAACGCCCTTCGCTGTTGATTGCTTTGCAGAATTTTCAGGTAACTTCTCGTCATCCTCAGATTCATCAGAATCGTCCGAAGTGATATCTGACTCTTTTACAGCAGGCTTCTTTGCGCCATTCTTCGCATCAGCCTTCGTGGTGTTTCTATTAGTGATATCTACACGAGATTTCCCTCCTGTTTCCTTAATTTTAACAAAATAATCAGAGCAGATAGTCCCAAGGTCAATGCTTGCAGGAATCTTCGGATCTTTCTGCAAAACAGCAGAACAGCCACTCAGAAGAAGTCCAAGCACTTGACTCAACAGAAGCATGAGTAATGGCATACCTCTCAAAATTGGGCACCGGGCACCGCAGGAGAGTGAATAAACATGTTCAGAGAGAACTGAAGAAGACAGCTGTAGTGCAGGTCAGAAGCTTCTAGCGACCCCTACACATTCCCACTAATCTCCAGCACTCTATGCGGGGGGGGGCTACACCTTCAACGCTGTCACGAATTAAAAATCTAAACTGCACATGGAGCGTGGGCTCTCTTCACATCCTACATTTCACTGCAACCTCATCTAAGTGAACAGAAGCATAATTGCGTTTACAATCAACTCCCTCCAAGGCCAGCGGACAAGAATCAAACATGATCTCTCGCACTGAAACGTATAAACCCCAGGCAGCAGATAATCAAAGCTAAGTATAGTCCATTGTTGACACGACCAGAAACAAGGCGTATCTATTGGGATAACCAGTTAAATTCTCCGCTTCACCTCGACACCCAACAAGCTCAATCCAACTTCCAGAAACAACACCACATTCCCAACACAAAGTCACTCTGAGCACAATATCACATACAATGCACTCATTAAGAACCGGCCACCTTGCCCAAACCCCTTAACCCCCTCGATCGTGCTAGAAGCTCAAAATACCCGCCCCCGACCAGCAACAGGTTTAATTCCCGGTGGAACCTACATAGCTCGACTCCGAGACGAAGGCTTTGAGCGTCTTCGTCAAGCCGCGCTTCCGCAAAAAATCCGCCACAAGCTGGTCCACTCCCGAAGACGCCATGGGCTGTCCGCCAGAAGGCAGCGAAGGAAACAGCGAGGGTCCTGTGCGAGGAAGAGGAGGCTGCTTCTGCGTCCGCAACTGGACGACTCGCGGCACGAACATACACGCGCTCCTGACTCCGAGCAAACCCACAAATGCACAGACAGGCCTCCGTCCAGTCCCTCCACGGCCGGAGAGCTTACAGTAGCAATTAGGGCTGCAGGCTAAAACCCTGAACCCTAGCCAGCGGTCGGGCTAGGGCTGAATGCTAAACCCTAAACCCGATATGACCAATCAGACTTTAAAACCCCATATACCCCTGCCAACCTATCCACGAAGCCGAGAATTAGTTCTAAATATATATCACTCCTGGGCGTGCTTTTACTTTAAAGTGCCCCTGACCCGCTAGTGCTTTTGTTTCATTTGAGCTTTGGATTAATTGGTGGACGCATTCAAAAATTAAAACTGCAATTCTTTGGCATCCAAATTGTATATCGTTTATTGATCAATTTTTTCACTTGAGCATATGCTCTAAAATGTTTTTCATAATTACACTGGTGCTTCAATTGATTAGGTATGTCCACAAGTTCTAGTTATGCTACCAAAATTCAACAAGATCAACTTGGATGGGTTTGTTAATGTCTTTATTGTTTTTTAGAATTATTTTTGTTTTCTTGTGCATTCATTGTATATTGTTGAAGTTTTACAAATGAATGAATTCAATTTTGAATGCTTTCTTGGTCATATTACAACTCTAAGAAACCATTTCTAATTATCCAAATTACGATACTTTATATGGTCCAAGCATTGTAATAAATATGACTAAAAACTATAAAGTGTGCTTATTAATTTAGCCAATGTAATTTATATAAAAAAAATTGTGGTGCCGTCTTTGTCCTTGTCCTTGAATACAATCTTAACATTCATCTCATCTTTTAATATTTATTATTGCATATTATTTTCTGCACATTATTTATTTAGTTCTTTCAACATAGCAAAACTTCATTATATTGGAACTTGAAACCCTCAAAAATATCATTTGTATTGTTAATATTATTCTCTGAGTGTTATAGGATTCTATAAAGTGGACATTGAATCAATTTTAAATTAATATAAAGCATATCTATCTATTATTTTTCATAAGTTTATATAATGTCTTTGAAAAAAAGATAAATTGGTAGTTATAGGTAATAGAAATTCTACCTATGTGTCAATCCGGTTCATATCTTATTACTAATTCATGAGAATGATTTATTAATAATAATCCTTTATTATGAACTAGCAAATGGAAAGATTAGATTACAAGAGACACATGACTACAAGAAAAGAAGAGAGAGTTCAAAATAAATAAATAAATATCACGAGTAATGGAAGGGCTCAACTATTCATATTGAATGGGGCAGCTCTATGCTCCCCTCAAATATTTTTTGTTTGTTATGTTTACTTATTGGTTAACATAAACTCAAGCAATCAGAGCCATCTCTGATTGTGTTGTGTGAAGTTCAAAAAAACTAGCTCATTATAAAAGTAGTTCATGTAGCTTTATTATTATCAAAGTTTGTAGCTGTCCAATTTTTGAGCATTGAGAATTGCTTCTTCGAAGTTGGGTGATCCAATTGCCAAGGTAGTAGACTACTCTTCACTTGAATTGTTACAAGAAACTCATTATAATTCTAAAATTGATAATTCGTACCTTGTTGAAGAGTTAACTCGAATAGGCTTCTAATAAAGTCTATTTAATTTGAAAAAATAAATGCTAAGTAGCTAATTTTAAAAAATTAAAGTCCTCCAAAAACAGACTTATCCTAAGTGCTTGCAAAGTTAAGCATTGACCTAAGAACTATAGCATGACTATTGATATTAAAATGTACCATTCAATCCTAATTTATTATTTAAAATATTATATTTTTGGCAATATGGAAAATACACAATAGAAACTTCATAGCAAGATGTTCACAATAGATTTCAATAATAATAATAATTCAAACAGAAAAAAACACAAAAAAACACAAACAAAATATTCTTGCATCATATTTAGTCTCATTACATCCCATCAGATTTGTTTCTTTAAAATGCTTTAGTTAATATTTGATCCAGCTAGATGTTCATGATACCTTCTTGAAGTTCATCCTGTACAACAATGTTGAATTTAGAGTCATAATATTTGATGTATACTCAAATATTTGTAAAACTTAATAACAAGAAGACAAAAACATATTTTATGTTTTCTCATTAATAAAATGTTAAAAGAACATTATTCTTTAACTGGAATAAACTTAACCTTAATATATTTTCTCTCAGTATTTATTAATGATTAAATAACACATCCACTTTCTTTATTGACACAAAATAAGGAAGTCTAAACAAATGTACTTAGGGAAGTAACCCACTTATAAGCAGTTACATTTCAAAGAGACAGACACAACAAACTACAATTGAAAGACTCAAGTACATAACAAATTGGCAACACTATGTTAGATTCATTTGTATCATTCTTTCACTTAATAATATTAGTATTCTTATGCATATTATGACTAACCAGATTAAAGGTAGCAACAAAGCAAAAAAAAGTTGATATATATATATATATATATATATATATATAAGCGTAATGTAAAGATGTGCTTTATATCTTGACATTGTTAGCATCTGTAAAGATGTCATTTACATCATGTAGTAATTTTTTAATTTAATGCAACTAATGTTTTTTCATAGAAAAAATGAAAAGCACTCGCAACAGAATACCTACTTCAAACTTTAAAAAGATATGCAATATCATATTGTATATTAGCTTTGCAATTATTTAAAAAACTTGTCACAAATTAGAAAATGGAAAATAGGCAGAAATATTTATCAATATAAGTACATCTAATTCAGAATAACCTAGATTGAAACCATTAAACAGAGGATGAGCTCGATCAACTTTGGATGTTCACGAATGCCCTGATTTGACAATTCATTAGATTGTGAAACAAACCTTTGAAATCAAACCAAAAAATAAAATAGCCATAAATATTTATAATAATTAAAATAAAATAAAATAAAACTCTAAAACGAGTCCAAGATTACATCATTGTAGATAAACTGTAACTTTATCATTCAAACTATCATAAAATCACAATATTTGGTTTGCTACTATATTTTCAAAATAGCAATATTTTATTCTAATTTAACAATAATAACCAGTTTTCTGTAAGAGTCCAAGAACAAGTGCAAGAATTCGTACGAGGTTTGTGTAATCCACACTAATAAGTTTTTAGAAGTAGTATATCAATCGTTGTTTGATTTACTGCAACACTACTCAACGTCAGGCAATAGTGTCTCAGAACTACAGTTTCTATTTACATATTTTTGTCATGTAAAACAATTGATAATTGAGATAATTATTTCTACACAAAGAAATGCCAATGTGATTTCTCTACTGGTCAAAAAAATAGTGATTCTCATAATAATATTATAACTGCTTTCAACTATCTGATAGACGTGGCCACTGATTTTTATTTTTTTTTATTTTTACAAGACATGTAATACTAAAAAAATAATCGTTGTACTATAGTCTAATAAAAAAATCACTTGGTAGACTCTGTAGTTTTTTTCAAAAACAGATGCAAGGTTGCGGCTTAGATAGAGTTAAAATAGTTTTGTCTAGGAAATATAGGGTAAAGCATAATTTTAAATAACCTAATTTAGTTCTTTTTCAGACAGTCTAGGCAAACACAAGGAGCTGTTGTTTATTAACCAGGTACATCAAAGCTAAAAAAAATCACCTTACTATTATTTTAAAAAAATTCTACAAAGTGTATATTATTTCTTTTCTATTTTTCATCTTTCTTCATACTTTTTAAGATTTTTTTTACAAAAGTAAATAAATATAACTAAATTCAAGTACATTCATGTGTGATATATTACACCCACTATCCATCATAAAGCAACTAATGCCCTTGTCATTTCATTGGGTTCCACTGCTAATTTTTCTTTCAAAAATATGTTTTGAACATTTAATTTTCAACAGCGACAAGATAAGCAATACTTTCAATTACCTTGTGTGATTCAAGTTCAAGGAATTTTTGTTGTACACTAGTGCAAAGAACAATATGACCACACAAAAAAAGGAATTCATAACAAGGTGTAGTTCAAAGACCCCAACACCCACAACATCAAAAAGAAAGCTTTTTTGAGGGGGAGGATCAACTTAAGAGTAGTCACAGGTCTTTGTATGTGTTTCCATACAGTTCCCATGCTCACAACAAAAAGCCACTCATCCAGCTACTCTTAAAAGGGTACCCCTCTCCCTCCCTAGTTTAGGGTTTAGAATGTGCACAAATACAGTGAGTGTAGCCCACTTGGCTGAGCTGAGCTGGTGCTGACAAGCAGTGACAATGCTTTCCTACTTTTACTCTTTTACTGCATCCCCTACTCTTCTTCCTCATCTTCTTTTCCTTCTTAGTTTTAAAATTTATTTAGTGCAATTCCAAGACGCCGCCCCCTAGGGTTTGAATAAACTGTTACAGGACTAAATCCATCAAAGAAACAGAGATGAAGTTGAAGCCAGAAGGGAAAGTTTCAAAAGGGGGAGGAGAGTGAGCGAGAGGATCCCAACAGTGCTCCATGCTGTGGCCTGCGCATTACTGAGGAGCAGGTTTCCTTAAATCCCGAGTACCCTTCTTTTCGGAGCATGTTTGACCGAAGTAGAAAAGGGCAGCCCCCCGCCAATGTTGGTAAATACTTTTTCGCAGTGGCCCCCATGAATCCCTAGAATCAGGGTTCATTAGCAACTGCATCCGTAGCCCCCAATTCTGGGCAGATCTTGAATCTCGTTGAATCTTGTTGAATCTTGTTAGAATCCCCTACAAAAAATTCTATTCGCAAGAGAGGGGGGACCCTGCCTGCCCCCACGAATAAGTCTCAGATGAATTGAGGTATATCACTTGCCCCTACAATAAAAATATAATTAAATATAAACTAATAACCGACTCGAATGTAGAGGAAAATTCTATAATAAAACCGAAGATGTACGTTCGGTTTTGTGTGGACATCCTCTGCGGCTGCCCATCAAACAAACCCACTGCCCATTCCAAAGTGATTGATGAAGCAGGGGTTATTATTACAACTATTGTTGTCGTATTAGCGTTCACGTTAGAATTATCAACTTTTCTTCGATTTGCAGCATGATTATTAATTTGCGTTTTCGATGCAGTTCTCCATTGTGGCATGGGCAGGAATAGGAAATCGCCTTTTGAGAGCAGGCACTGTTGATGATGGTTCAGCGTGTCTGACCTGTGCTCCCTGGCGACGGCACCCTCGCTTTCGTCGTTGTTGCACATTCTGGTCATCACCGATTCGCTAGTCCTATCAAAGACAAAAAAACAGAACAGAAACTGAAGATGCTTTTCTGCATGAACCTTACCTCGTCCACACCCTCTCACACCAGATCCATGCTGCGAAACAAAAAAAATAAAACCCTAAACCTTCATGCACGCACTAGTGTGAAAAGGACCACTGTCTAGGAACACCTGTCACGATATCTTTGCTCTGCGGCGCGTGACCTGGCAGCTGCAGCGTTTCGGCCGCCGTCCCCGCTGGATATATATGCTGACATGGACAAGCTTCTAGGTTCCACGTAGGTCCCGAGAATTCATCTCGATAAGCCTATAAATGCCATGTGGGCGGAGAAGACCTTTTATTTGTTTTTTTTCTTCAGGAGGAGTACTATATCTCTCTGGTTAAAGTGCATACACTAACATTGCATCAAACGAAAAAGGTGCGAGTAAAGTAATTGACTTGCCTCCTGTAGACAGTAGGAAATGACATGGGTTGCTGTTCTGTAGTGGTTATTCAATCTTAATACTGAGATGCTTCCACGTCATACTGCGTTGTCATTGCTTATCATGCATTGCTTGCACACTTTAATCGAGTTTTATTTTCTGACATGTGTATTGTGCGAATGTGATGTATAGTTTACAGTTTTATGTACGATTCAATGAGGATTGTTGGTTATGTTTGTAGTGTTCAATTCCATCTAAAAGAAAAAAGAAACCGAAATTAAGTAAATGAAAAATACGAAAAGAATACCGATATTTTGTGAAGAACTCAAAGTCGAAGCTTTTTTTAATATTTTTCCATTTTTTCTATCTAATCGTGAAATTAACTGAATTTAGAAATCAAGGGAGATTTTTGACATATTTTGTATGCATGCATGTTGAACGTACTCAATCAGTCCAACTGAGTAACACAAATATTAGTGAGTTATGAGATGGTTCTTAGAATAAATGATTAAAATTATATGTGTATATAGCACACTTTCAAAGCTCATGAAAAACTAAATAATACAATATAATATAATGTATTAAATCATATGGAAACAAATAAAAAGAATTAAAATTGTTATAGTACTCTAAACAGTCATTTATTTATTTTATCACTGAAAACTAAAAGTTAATATGTACTTTTTCTGATTGTAATTTCACTCTTGTACAAGGTTTTGAGTTCTAACATTTCAACAATTACTTACAGATTTTATTCTACAATAACTGCATTTACTTTGCATTGCAGCATTTTACACACAATGTCGTACATTTATTTTCATTGATTAGATAATCCAATGTCAATCATAAAAAAGTATATATATATATATTAGGAATAAAAAATAAATTTGAAACCAACATTATAATTATTACCCTGAATAGTCTAAAACATTTATTAATAATTTGGAAACAATATTTGATTTATTGCAAATATATTGAATTTAGTTAACTATCAATGTGAATAAATTCAGTTATTTTTGTTTTATGTGGGAGTATTCGTGCTATGATATTAAATGAAGCAAAAATACTCTTGTAATTTATCGTACTTTACTTATTTAAACATATTGTTTGTGTTGTTGTTGTTGCTAAAACTAATATCAAGATAATCATGATTACTGTTTTAACACAAACCTCACATTGTAAGTCAGATAATTTACTTTACATTAACTTGAAGAAAACACAGAGACTATATTTTGTGTATATTTATGTATATTTGTGTCATGCAAGTCCTATATTATTTGTTATACTCCATTTTTATGTCATTATTTAGAAACAGTATCATTAATTTCACTCAATTTTGATTTATTGAAATGATTAATTGGATACTCATTTAAGGTAGTGGAAATTTATTACCTTACAAAAGAAAACACATCTTAAACCATCAAAAGTTTATCAATGTTTGGCATCTAAAGTTGTGCCTTGTAATCAAATAACAAGTGTTTATTTGCATCCTCATCCACACAACAGATTAATTTTTATGCACACACCAAATCTGAAAATAATACTTTTGTAGAGTGGAATTCAGTTGCTAATTTTGTTGGGTAAGATTTTGTGCATTGTAACCACCCTAAAGAACACAAACCCCACCATAGAAAGAGCATACTTTTGATGATGGAGAAAGCATGGACTAATGCACCACTGATGTTGGAAAACCTTAAACCATCAACTTAAGGTTTTTTTAGGCTATCTTAGAGGGTAGGTTTGGATTTATTTATTAGTTTATTTCTGGAAGGAAAAAAAAGATTTTGATGTGCTTAAAAGTAAAAAAAATTAAATTGCCATACTTGTTTAATTGATAAAATTTAACAAATCCGTTTTTTCCATTTGTTCTCTGAACCAAGATATAGATTTGAGCATAACCGTCTATAAAAACATGTTAAACCACCACCTCCATCACACTAACCACCACCTTCATCCTTGTTAAGTTTGCCGATCATTGGTGGATTTGGAATCAACTCAAAATCTTTCTACTTTCTCCAAAGTAGTTTTGGGTTTGTGCAAGGGCAATTTCTGACAAGGTCTATGAGATGGCTCAAGGGCATGACATGGTTCAAGGTATTCTGACATTACATAGATGATGAAGGTAGTGGACAAAGAAGAGGAGGGGTCAATTTGGCAAGGGAAAGGAAATGAAGGACAAAGGGATTATTGTTATTGATTTTTGGACATCAAGTCAAAGTGAGGACAAGAACCTTTTTGGGAACAAAAAATGCTTCTGGGTAGCATTCCATTGGTGGCTTTTTGTGCTTGGCTTTTCCTAGTATGACTGAATCTTGTGAAGGTTGTGCCACACCCTACTTATGACAACTAGTGTGTTTCCCTCCATGTGCCTATTAATAACCCATCCTTCCCACTTACTTTATGTTTTTCTTAACTCATTTACTTTTCATACTTCATCTCCGTTTATTGAGTCATGACAGCACTTGTTTTGTCAAATGAGAGACCACAGATTAGAAATCCTCTGGATCTGCAACATGCTTGTTAGCACCAGCAGTAGCAGTGGTAGTGGGGAGCATGTATGGTGGTGATGCATGAACTGTTTTCTATTTGGTGGCATGGGGGAGTGTGAGATGAGTGGAGCCAGGCTTCTTAAAGCACACTGTCACTGGGCACATGGATCTATGGGAGATTCAGGTTCAAAATGTCTACTACCCAATCTACAGGTTTACTTTCTATTCCAACATGAGGAAAAAAAATATAAATTTGTAAAACAAAGAACAGTTTAAATATGAATATATATAGAAAAAAACAGTTTAACTAGTAGGGAAAGGGCTGAGTAGGCACTGGTGGATAGGATGCAGCTACTCTAGAGATTGGAGGTCCACTCACAGCCAGCCATATGAGAGCATCCTACTCTCTCTCTCCAGGAATGAATCTGGTAAGGAGTTTAACATTGATTAGAGTAGCAATAAAGAGGGGGAGGAGTGAGAAGTGAGGGAGGGTGATAGAAAGAAACCAAAGGGGGATGGAATCAGAGGAGGCAGACTTGGGTGAAATAAATTCTTGTAATATGGTCCATGTGTTTGGGCTCCATGAATAGGGTTTGGAGAATACAAGACAACCTGTGGTCCACATGAAAGACAAAAGACAAAACTATTAAGGAAGTGAAGGGTGGGCCCAGCCTCCAAAATGCTGAGTCCATTCCATGTTGGCCTATATTATAGAAAGTTGGTGTGATGAGTCAACCAAGACACACCAAGGCATAATGGCTGTGAAACCTCAACCACTGTTGGGGAAAACTATTTTGCAAATAGGGCCTGATTCCAGGACTGTTGGACAGGTCGAGATTGGATTCAGAGACCCAGGGCCTTCCTTATTCACACACCCAGTTTATATTTATTCAGGCCAACTAGAATACAAGGCATGGCATGAGTGGGTTAATTTTAACCCCTCCCCCCCCCCCAAACTGATTGAAAGCCCCCAAGAGGCCAGATTTAGAGATGGAACATACTCTTAACTCTAATTTTATGGCTAGGTGGGAAGTGAGAATCTCAGTTCGTTTCCATGCTAGATTGGATGAAAAGAGATGAGTTGATGAATAAATTCATGTGGAAGAGTTTCCGTCGGTCGGGACCCTGCCCGCGAACCCATCACGGGAGGAATTTGGAGCGGCGGTTGGAGGTTAGTTAAGCCCGGGACGGGTGATGGTAGGCTGGAATCCGGCGTCAGAATTGGCTTTGTTTAATCAATGGGCATGGCGGGCTGCTGTCTGTCTGGCAGTCAGTAAGAAAGTCTTCGTGGCTCATCCGCCCCGCCGCAGTGCCACGGGAACCCACCTTGGGTCGTTTCCAAGCATAGCTTTGCAGATTTAGCATGTCAACATTCGCATGTGAATCGCTCAAGAGCTGGACGTCGATCTCGCTCTCATTCGAAGGCTGAGCGTGCGAGTTGAGAGAGCGTGGCGACGGAGAGAGAGCGAGAGAGAGAGAGAGAGACCGCATGGTTGTGCCTGAGTGTTGAAGGTCTGAAGTCCTCGCGTGTTTTTCATAGTCGTTATAGGTTGTTGCGTTATCGCTCTGGAAGGAGCAAGGACAGGGAGAAAACCTTATTTCTGCTCTCCTTGTGGTCGTTTTGGCTGTTGAAGTTGCAGTTTGATTTGTGTCGGATAGGAGGTGCAATTATGACTGGATAGGGCGGAGGGGGAGGGCGGGAGAGGGAGGGGGAGAGAGAAATAGAGGAAGACGGAGAGTAGAGGGAGCTTTGAGAGTAAAAGGCTGATGAGAATGACTGACGGAGAGGAGGATGGGGCGCAAGGGCAGGAGCCCCAGCCGCAGCAGCCCAACGGGTTCAAGAAGGTTGTGGTGGGGGTATGCGTGATGGAAAAGAAGGTACCGGCGCTCGTCGTTGTTGTCATCTTGTGGTGAAGTTGTACGCTTTTTCAAATTTCCTGCAGGTATGTTAGCCTCTGAATTTTAAAGAGCCGAGGCTTTCTACAAGTGGACGTGAAATGTGACATTCTGTTCTCACTGCTCAAGCTGAGAGCGTCCACTTCCAGTGCTCGAAGATTCGTGTACGTCCGTAGTGCACAATAATTGTCTTCCGAACACTGCTGTCGCTCATACACTGTGTGCCTCGGTGCTATCGGTCATGATCATCTCAGGGGTTGAGACGCCGACCTCTTCCGCTTCCTTTAAGGACCTATAATGGGAATAGTAGAACGATTGAATATCGTAAAAATGTGCCGGACGTTGTTTTTTTTTTTTTGAACACAATTCTTGGAGATTCAACAAGGGATTTTTTAGAGTAATGAAGTGAGTTGTATTGTTGGCGAATGTTAAGTTTCTCTGCAGTTTCTTCTCTACGAAGCGCGCAAGCAGACGTCTAAATTGTGCCGTATTCTGTAATTTTGTGAGCCACACTGAGAATCTTAGTGGAGAGTGTGGAGAAAGCAGAGTGTCTTCGTCTGAGGTTTTGGTTCTGCTGTTCATGATAATGTTGAAACTGTATTGGGAATTGTAAAATCCCGACGTTTCTTCAGCTTATCTGCACCTTAACTTCTGTTAGCCTGCAGTGGCTTCTGAGAATTTTGGATCTCCGAAGATGCCTTTGGATCAGGGCAGAATATCCTTCACGTTCAAACTTCCTCAGAATATTCCCGCAGTTTGGGAACCATGGACAGATTTTTGAATGGAATTTGCCGCAGAATTCGTTAGCTTTGATGATGGTACTTTTTTCTTGTGTCGGGATAGTTCTTTACCCACTGTTATGGACTCTTTAGGATGGTCAGTGCCTTCGCTGAACCTGAGCTTTTGACTTGCACCTGTCTTTACGCTGCTAGACGAAAATTTAATCTAAGGGAGCGGTGTCAGCATCTCAATTTTCTTTGCAAGAGTGTTGGAATTAGTTACTTTTTGGAGGGACCACCATATTTTTATAATTCCAGTTGGATTTTCTCCCCTTTCAAGATCAATGCTCTTTACTTAACTCCCTAAAGAAGGGACGTGTTCATTGATATTTAGTGCGTAAGAACTGTTGCACATGTAAGTCTGTGCGTTTCATCCTCGGAGAAGTGAATTTACTCTAAGTTTCGACGTCATTCTGTGGAGATAGTTTAGCAGCTACACTTTTAGCTCTTAGGTGGATCATATTGAAGCTATGGCTGTTTCTTGGACGAGGTTTACGTTAGCTGTGTTTGTGTTACCTCGGAATACTTCTTCGTTTAGAGATAGCTCTGAGACGATTCCTGGATTCATAAAGTAAGTCCGTGTTTTATATTTGCAGTACTGTGGTACCTCATTATTTGGGATGTCGCGTCTCCTTTTCTGTTTTACGCAAGTGAATAATTGGATGGTGGGAATTCAGACAGGCGCTACGTTTGCTTACATGATGAATTAATGTTGTTGTGACCGCGTTATGTTGCTAGGCTCTTTTTCATAGAAAATTCTGGTCATCTTGTGTAGACTCTTAGTCAGGGTCAGAGTTGAATGCTAGAGTGAAATCCACACTATTTCTTACACACTGTCTGCATGCTGAAGATGAACGTGCGTGATCTTCACGTGTGCATGAGTGCACACACACACACACTCAATCTTTCCATAATCATTTTACTCAATGGTGTGTATACTCTTATACTAGGATTTGGACCAGTATGAGTACGGCATGACGTTGATCTGTGGGATGATCCCAATTGGTCTTGTTCTATGCGTATCTGACAGTGAGTTCTTGGATACTGGCAGGCATTATCGGGACCGATGGCTCAAATTTTAGATCGACTCAAAATGTTTGGTGAATTTGAGGTGTGCTTCTTTTACACGTTTAACCTTGTTCTGAATGTAAACGGTCTCCTTCGGACAGTATTAGTGATACGTCTGTACGGTGCTTGCATGTACTGCTTCGGTATTGTTATTGACCTTGTGAGATTTCTTGTCCACCGAAGGGTACAATTCTTCTACGACTTACCCCTCCGGTATCTACATACTTTTTCGGCCCTAAACTGCTGCTCTTTGTTCGCAGATCATAATTTTTGGAGACCGAGTAATCCTGCATGAGCCAGTAGAAAAGTAAGTATTTGCTTTACGATCCTGCGCTTAGTTCATGATTACCCTATTGATCGCTGTGTCAAAGTCAAGGTCGAGGAAACTCCAGTCTTATCTATTGATTATAAATTCCGTGTGGATGTTATGTTTCATGTGATCGTTCCCCATAATGAATTGGATTTATATGCACATCTATTTAAAAGTTTCTTCTACTTCACTTTTCAGGTGGCCGCTCTGCGACTGCTTGATAGCATTCTATTCAACGGGTTATCCTCTCAGTAAAGCTGAAGCTTATGCTGCGCTTCGCAAGTCTGTTCACTTATCTTTTCGTCTTTCTATTTCCTTTTCTAAATTTGAAGTGGTAATGATGAGGATTTGTTTTATTCTTACTGTTTTTAAGTTCATTAAAAGCTCTACACCCTGGGTGTTAAGGTTTTAATATGATGGCAGACATTCTTATCACCTTTTACTTACTGATATGCTCTAGGCCTTACCTGATTAACGAGCTGAAATTGCAGCACCTCCTTCACGATCGTCGCAAAGTTTATGCTGTACGTACTACTTGTACCTGCTTCGTTACGAATAATGTTGTACTTAGTAGTCTGATACCAGGACGGAACCTTGTTAACATCTGGTTTTCAGGATAACTTAACGAGTTTGATGTCTGTTTGGGTATGTTACGAGGCTTTTCGTTAGCAGGTGATGTAGCAATGTCTCAACATACATATTCTGATTTGCTCTTGGATTTGGTGGATTTCTCAGCGCCTTGACGAGTATGGGATTCCGATTCCAAATTATATACTAGTCAATCGTGACTTTCCTTATCAAGAAGTGGACTATTTTGTGGAAGAAGAAGACTACGTTGAGGTCCAAGGAAGAAAAATCATGAAACCATTTGTTGAAAAGCCTGTGGATGGTATACACGCTTCTCCAACAGTCTTGTACCAGTGTTTCTCTCCTGTTTATTCTTCATTAACGCAACATGGATGCTATTCACAATGTGACTTGTGTTGTACAATTACCTGAGAGACATTGTCAATAATTTCATCTACCACCGCATCTGTTTTACAAACCTTTTCTCTATAGAAGTAGAGGTTTCCATTATATTTTCCAATTGAAGTCCCCGAGTATTTATCTTTGAGCAGGAGATAATCACAGCGTAATGATATACTACCCAAGTTCTGCTGGTGGGGGCATGAAAGAGCTCTTCCGGAAGGTAACTCTGACTTGAGTTGTACACATATATGTAGCAATAGACTAACTGGAATATTTATAAGAGTGCGCATTAATTTCATTTTTTCATGTTATTATTATTATTATTTCTTCTTCTTCCCTAGAGGACTGCGAAATAGAAGGTTTTCTTGGTCCTTTGACTTCATTAGCATGTACCACTTGCTTACGCTAGTGGTGTGTTTTGTTTGTCTAGGTTGCAATGATTGTGCGGTAGATCACCTGTCTACTATCACGACCACTTTGTGATACTTGTTCTCAGAGTTTATATGTAAGTGTGGTTTATTGATTTACTAGTAGTAACCATGCAATCATGTATTCTTCAGGTGGGTAATCGATCTAGTGAATTTCACCCTGAGATACGGAGAGTACGGAGGTCTGGCTCCTACATTTATGAGGAGTTCATGCCCACCGGTGGTACTGATGTTAAGGTACGGGCAGATGTTTTGTTAAGGCGAATGCTTCAGGGAGTTTACTTATGCACTTCTTGCATGATGAGTGAAAATAATTTATCCCCCAATATGTTTAGTTGTTGTACTTTTGTAAATTGCAAGGTCTTTCCTGTTTTATGATTTCTTGTACAAGTAGATGTAGAAGGACTTCCTTGCTCATTAATACTATCGCTTTTGCGTTTATAGCTAGCATAGTCTAATATTTGAACTGCTGACGTGCGCTACATCCTGTGAGGCGATATTCTCACTTCAGCCCGCTTTGAACTAACCTTGCATACAAGATCATTTAAGAGGAGTTTATGTAAATAACGTAACATCTGTTAGCTTTGGCAAGGACTTTGGTCGATTCGCCTTTTTCATGTGTGAATTTCAAGACGAGATTGTTGCCGACGTGGTATGCTTCTTGCATGCAGGTGTATACAGTGGGGCCAGAATATGCTCATGCAGAAGCTAGAAAGTCTCCTGTTGTGGATGGTGTAGTAATGAGAAGTGCTGATGGAAAGGAGGTGAGAAAAGTTCAAAAACTAATGAATTTGTTTTGAAGAGGCCAATCAAGCTAAATTAGCTGACGTTTAGACTAAGGGATTCGGAGTCCCGGACTTTAATTTGAAATGTTATTTAGTACGTCATCATTGTAATTGTTATTGACAATTAATATGCTTACAATAAATATGCGTGGTAAGTTTTGTGAAGGCATCTTAACTTGGCAAAAGGTGCGTTCACTGCACGATATTGCTAATGTTTTAGTATAGTTAATCTCATAACCCCTTGGTCTCACGGAGGGACCGTGATCTCATTGTGTGATTTAGGTGAGATACCCTGTGCTTCTGACTCCAACGGAGAAAAATATTGCCCGAGAAGTCTGTGTTGCTTTTGGACAAGGGGTGAGTTCATTTATGCCTTGATAAATCTGGTTTTTGAATTTTAACATTGGATGGAAGCCTGAGGATAGTATGTACGAGAGTGGTATCATCCTCGTGTTCGTTCTGTAGTTATGAGTGAATCCGGGTTATTGACGTTTGCTCGATCGAATGAGCATTGTGACATAGGAGCTCTGATCGAATGCGAGGCGTGCCGAACACACGTGTAGTTGTTAGAAACATTCTTTCCTCAATATCTTTCCCCCATTCCGATGTTTCTTGTGCACTAGTATTTGGATGTATACACAACATTCTTAAAAAAGAGGCATAACTCAGTTCTATTTATTGTCGTTCAGCCGTAGGGGTTCTAGATATTCAAAACCCAGTCGGATCCTATAAGAGTTCAATGTGTCTTGGGATGCAGTAGTAGACTCTATTCAGTGAGAGAAGAGACACTTTTCCTACGAAGGCTATTGGCTCCCCTCGATACCCAACAGAATCGAAGTTGGTCGGACACCCACATAGCCGGTTGTACTACCCCGGCTGTTCACTTTGATTTGAGTTGTAGTCGGTCCTTGGGCAAAAGAATGCCTCAGACTCTTTGTCTCAACATGCTTTGTAAGCTGCTCTTCAATGTTAGCCAGGTATCTAGTGTTGTTAGGTGCATGATATTCTCGGTTATCTAACAGTTCATAATTAATCTGCAGGTGTGCGGGTTTGATTTACTCCGATCACAAGGCCGGTCATATGTTTGTGATGTTAATGGGTGGAGTTTCGTTAAGAACTCTTACAAGTGAGTTTTCATTATTTTTACTGCTTTTCTAAGTATTTATGTCTTTGTGGTAGTGGACCAAGTAATCTTCTTGCTCTTCTAGCACTACATGATGCTCTGGTCTTGTGATACTGAGAGACTAAATTTCTCTACCGCGATCCCAGGTATTACGACGATGCAGCTTGTGTTCTAAGAACCATGTTCCTTGAAACAAGAGCACCACATCTCAATGTGAAGCTTTCATGTTTGCCGTGGAGCAGAGTCGAACAACCTCTTGAGGCAGATGATCCTAATGGCATTTCAAGGCAGGAAAGTGCTGCACTTTCTGGTACATTTGGTCAATCGGAAGAGCTGCGGTGTGTAATTGCCATTTTACGCCAGTAAGATCTCAATCCTTAACATTTCTTCTTCTACTTCTTCAATTCTAATTTTTTCAAAACTAAAATTATTTCTCGGCGTATATGTCTTTCGTATACTCCATTGATATTCTGTGTTTCACCTATTCATGATACGTTTTTACAATCTGACTTGACAACCGTTTGTCTGCCTGACAGTGGTGATAGAACTCCAAAGCAAAAGGTCAAGATGAAAGTTACACAGGATAGACTACTCAACCTTATGCTGAAGTACAACGGTGGGAGACCTCGATCAGAGGTAAAATCCTTTCCTTTAATATATCCAACCTCTCAAGTGTCCTTGCCCATAATTGTCTTTGCTCTGACTTGACTATTATTTTTGGCCGTTATATTCCTGGTTGTTATGTCGCTTTCACTTTCTTAGAATTACTCTAATTGATGGTTCAATATTGTAGCTAATACAACATTCCTGTTGCATATTGTTACAGGCTAAACTGAAAAGTGCAGTGCAGTTGCAAGATCTTCTCGACGCAACTCGTATGCTTGTCCCTCGTGCTAGGTCCGCAAACCTCCTATGTTCAGTTGATAACTTGCAGAGTTTTTGAGCTTGATCAATTTCTTTCTTTTCAGATCTTTTGCGATGAAGAGGCTGATGTTTATCTTCTATACATGACAATATTCTCAGATCAGGTAAAGAGAGTAGCGACAGTGAGGCAGAAGACTGGGAGCACGCCGAGAAATTACGCCACGTTAAAGCAGTTCTTGAGGAGGTGAAATTGTGCTATTGTTGTCGTTTGCTTGTATGCCAGAATATAGTCCTATACAGCTGCGCTTTTCACATTGTCCTCTCTTTGAAAGGTCTTCATTTCAGTTTTCAGAATGCCTTGCAATTTTCACGTTCAACCTAATTTAATGCTTTAATTTATCTTATGCAGGGTGGTCACTTCTCTGGAATTTATCGAAAAGTGCAGCTAAAACCCCAGAAGTGGGCGAAGATTCCGAAGGAGGAGGATGAGATCGAAGAAGAACGCCCCATAGAGGCGCTGATGGTGCTGAAATATGGAGGCGTTCTCACGCATGCCGGTCGGAAGCAGGTCCTTAAACGTTTACTGTATCTAATCTTTACTGCCTCTTTCACAAATGAACTCTGCAATTCTTAGGATAAAAGAATGTGGCCGACACCCTCGAAGCACTGGACCAAAAGTAATACAAACTATAGAGTGTGAAGTAGAGTTGTTTGAGCTTAAATTTGACATTGCTGAAAGTCATGGTGGGTTTATGTTGGTTTCGCCAGGTTGGAATGCTCAAGTTGATACTCAAACCAAATGTGTTCCTTTCTGTTTTGTGTCACTTTATGTCCTCAACAGCGCTTCTTCATTGCTGTTAGTATAACGATCTTAACTTCAATTGTCAGCTCCAGTGTTAGGTGGATGTTAGCGCATTTCCATGAAATTGTCAGAAGGTTGAGGTTATTCTATGGATTTATGTGATTGCAGGCCGAAGAATTGGGGCGATCTTTCAGGAATTTCATGTACCCAGGTAAATACCACGGATTAGCTGCATGGAGGAAACTACTACTTCTAAGTGTTGCACATGCTAGATAAGAAAGTAAATTTGACAGAGTTGCACTTAATGTAGACATACTGCATTCTGGTTCATTTGAAAAGCACATCCATGTGAATCCTGATATGGATTGCAGGAGAGGGGACTGGTTTGCTGCGACTCCATAGTACTTATCGGCATGACTTGAAAATCTACAGTTCCGACGAAGGGAGGGTGCAGGTAATATCCTCTTCAAAGATTGACAACATGGTCATAGTTTTGGTTAACATGGAGTATTGCAATGCACTTCCATATTTGTTTTTTTCCTTAGGGTTCCTAGCATGCATTGTTTTGTTTGCAACATGGTGCATGTACCAGTGAATCACTTGGTGCTTCTCCTGTTTCATCGCAAAAGTTCGGTCTGTCTGGTAAATTATTATTTGTATTCTTGCACCTTGGGTTCTTTCCTGGAATTCGTTTCTTTACTAGGAGCTTTTATTTTCTGTAGATGTCAGCTGCTGCATTTGCGAAAGGTTTACTTGATCTGGAAGGTCAGCTGACCCCCATACTGGTGAGTTCTTCAAATTTGTCTAAGAAAGCATGCACTTTCTTAGACAATATATCTGATTATTGTTCTTCTGCTTTGTTGTTGAATCACCTTGGAACTGTAGCTGTTCTTGAAGTGATTTATGAGGATTGGTTTGCAGGTTTCTCTTGTCAGCAAAGATTCGCCTATGCTCGATGGTCTGGATACTGCTAGTATTGAGATGGACGAAGCAAAGGTATTTTTTTATATTTTTTGATAAGAACCTGTTATAAGTATGAGTTGTTTCATCTTCACTCTTTGTAGTTGATTAGTACGAAGAATTATTATTATAAAATTTTACGTTTTTCAACAATTGTAGATGAATGATTTATTATTTTTATTTTTTGAGTCTTCATGGTTGAATGTTTTATTGTTTTTTTAGGCGAAATTATACGAGGTAATGACATCATCTAAAGAGCAGCCGCTTCCTGTACCCTCGAAACCTGACATGCCTTGGATGGTGGATGGAGGAGGCATGCCTCAGAACTCCTTGGATCTGATGAAGAAACTGGTTGAACATCTTGCCATTACCTCTGCTTTCAATTTAGTATGAATTTGTATGATTGGCGTAAGCTAATTGCATAGCCTTCAAGCATGAAATAGTTGCTATAGTTGCATCTGTTGGTTGAGAATGTATAATATAGCTTTTTTGTGAATACATGTTGTATAAGCCTCTTTCTCCTTTTATTTTAAAGTCGTACGTAATATGCAAATATAAATTCGATTATGACTTGTGGAGAAGCGATGGTTCCAGCTGCTGCAGTTCATCAGAAGAGCACTCTTTTAGTTTTTACAACTTATTTCTCATCTACGGCTTGGCTTTCTCAGGTTGAGCTTACCAAGAGAGTTACAGCCCAGGTCAAAGTCCTTTGTAAAGCTGAAGAAGAACGACTGGCTTCGACCACACTTGATGAAGAGCTTCCACCTTATGACCAAGCCCGTGCTTTGGGAAAGACCAATATGGATGTTGACCGAATCGCTGCTGGGCTACCTTGTGGTAGTGAAGGATTTCTTCTCATGTTCGCTCGATGGAAGAAATTAGAGCGGGACGTTTACAATGACCGTAAAGAGTAAGTACCGTCAAATTTGAATGTCTTGAATAATCCATTGGATATTTTAGAATATTTATACACTCCGTAAAATGTTAGGAACATGTGATACTTGATCTTCGACAGTTGCGGGAGCTTCCGAATTTTTTGATATTTGCGTATGTGTAGTTTTGTGTGAGGTCAAGAGTCGTTCTTATCGTCTATGTAAGACTTGTCTTTGGCTTGAACTAATCGTCGATGGAATTGGTGGAAGCAGCCGATACGATATAAGCAAAGTTCCCGATATATACGATTCTGCCAAGTGAGCTTTTGTTCTATCTATTCTTTTGGGTCTTATTCAAGTCATAGTTAAATTGCGCCCCTTTCAGTATTTCGAGAAATTTCTTCTTGCCTTGATTGGTTCTATGTCTGCTCTATGTCACGACATATATTCCATCTTTCCCGTGAACACTCTTAAATCATCTGGAATAAGTTGGTCTTATTCAAGTTTTTTCGCTGAAAATTTATGCCAATCTTCGTGTTCAGATATGATCTTCTTCATAATGCTCATTTACAACTTCAGGGACTTGACGAACTCTATAGAGTGGCGAAGGTACCGCGGCTTCCCGAAGTTTATATCACATCCTTAAGAAATATTTCGTTGAACTGGATGTGGATACCGTCCATTCTCGTTGTGCTTTAATGATAAGTTGATTATTGCTCTGGTCTCAGAAACTTGCGGATGGGGTTATCCCGAATGAATATGGAATTAATCCTCAACACAAACTGATCATAGGAGCCAAGGTACTCAGACAACCTCTCAGTTTTTTTCTACTTCAAGTTTTTAGGTCATACAAATTTAATGTCAGTAGAAAGTGTAATATAGCTTTTCTCTGTTTTGCTTCGTTGAACCCCTTCCTTATTGTAGTTGTATAAATTGATCGTGTCATGTTTCTGAGCACCTTGGTGAAGTGTAACTGACAACTACGCTGTGTTTGTCTTCGAGCTCATTTTGAATTTTTTCTGTAGGCTAAATTTTCTTAGAAGTGATACTAACGTCTGTGAATCCTTTGTGAAAGATTGCCCGTCGACTTCTAGGAAAGATCCTCATTGATCTACGAAATACTCGGGAAGAAGCCATTAGTGTGGCTCAAGTGAAGCAAAAGCAGGGCCATTTTTCAAGTAGAGTTCGGAAACCATCTGAGGAGGGCAACCGAATCAGTGGTAAAGTTAGAGTGGCTGTTGATAACTCAAGGCAAACTTGCCCAGCGGACAAATCATATGAGACGGACGATGACGATGACAAAGAAACCCAGTATCGGTTGGACCCTAAGTAAGGAATATAATTTACTCCTACCTTATCTTCGAATTTCCTCATAAATATCCCGAAAACTTATGTTCAGTTGTGCTAATCTGTGGTCGTGATCGTTTTTATACAGGTATGCCAATGTTCGAACACCTGAAAGACATGTTCGCACCAGGCTTTACTTCACGTCGGTAAGTTGCTGAACGATTTCCTACCTCGCATGTGGTGATGAATTGCTAGTCCTTTTACGGTTTACTTCTAGAAGGTTTGTCGGCCTTATTTGGTGTTCTTTCTCCGCAAAATGTCTTGTTTTCTCACGATATTGTTTGGAACATATGCAGGAGTCACACATCCATTCGTTGATCAATGTTATCCGTTATTGTCATTTAGACGATTCTTTGAAAGGAGAACCAGGCCTGGTTGCAAATGAAGGTTTGAAGCGCATATTTGAAATCAAGGAGCTTGACTACTTGACCCATATTGTGCTACGAATGTACGAGAATACTGCAGTAAGTATTGTTTCACAGTACGATCCTATATCCATCCAAGTTTTCAAGGCACACTAAAATGTGTTTGCTGTTGATACATCATGTCAAACGTACTTGGTTCTTCAGTAGCTTGAATAGGACCCCTAACGTCTTTCTGTTCATAGGTGCCTTTGGAAGATTCACGAAGATTCAGGATTGAGTTGATGTTTAGTAGTGGAGCAGCTTTAAGTCCTCTCGAGGTGAGTACACCTATATCTACTGTGCGGTTTGCGCTTGGATGTTTCTGAGCATCTCATAATTTGTTATATGTTTTAAACATGTATTCTGCATTTTATCAAGATTAGAGGGTCAAAATTGGACCTGAGATCTCTGGTTGGGTTTGTGTGCCTTCAGGCAACTCCTCGCAATCGAGATCACACTCTACCAGTGTTGCCTCCGGAGACTTTGCAGGAAGAGGGTAGCTACGTGACTTTGGACCGCTTGGAGAAGCTGGTGCGGCCATTTGCCATGCCGGCTGAAGACTTTCCTCCAGCCAGCACCCCGCAAGGATTCTCCGGACTATTTATGAAAGGTGGAGGAGTTCTGGAGAGACTTATTAATTTCTGGCCTTTCAACAAGACTCCGAAGTAGTTTAGGAACCCTAAAATTTCGTGTCAGAAAATTGTCGTATACACTTCGAATATTAATAACGCTGGGATTGCTTGTCGATATTGTTTATAGGAATTGATGTTTGAGTAAGGTTTGGAAAACAGTAATTTTCATTTAATGACCTGCTTTCGATAATACTTATATTGATACAGTAATGTTCATATGAAGCCTGTTCACGAATACGTTCTAACACTCAGATAATCACTCTTAAAATTTACAGTTACAATAGATGAACTATGGGAATGAAATCGTTGTAGATAATCTCAAGTAATTATTCAAGTAATCAGAATCTTTGATAGTGTTGTGTGTGAAAATGGTCATGGTCGGTCACTCAGATGGTCTTAGTAATCGAAACGTAGAAGGATAAGGTGTAAGCAATCAATAATAGACCATACGGAAACTGCAAATATTAGTAATCCTTTACTGTGTAACGAAATTCTAACTATGTCAGCATTTTTTAGGGAATCTGTGGAATTTTTTGTTACTTGATTCTGTGACAAATCGAATCTAAGTAGGTGATTGGGGTATCTAGAGTTGCAATGAAAGTTTTGAATTTTGCTATCGTTGTGATTATCTTGTTGAGAATTCAATGAATGTCAGTTCATGCTTATAGCATGGTTCTAAGAATCTATGATGTGGGTTTGGAAATAAAGGGGTTCGACGTTGGTGGCACTCGAGGCGACAATAATCGTCAAGGTATCATCTTGGTTCAGCTTACCTTTTTTGAGTTTATTTGGGAGAGAGCAATCCAACGCTGGGACCGTTATGGGCAAGCAAACACCTTGGCATCTATTGTACCGAGGGCAGCGTATTGAAGGGTTAGTTTTTCAAGTTCATATTGCACGAAGGCAATATCCAGTGAAGCTTGAACTTAGACTACTAGGTTGCAAGCTTATGTCCAACAGGTTTAGTCAATGGCGCGCTAGGCTGCCTTTAAGGTACTCTCCGTCGTCGATATGAAGTTTTTGTTTTGTTTATCTATACTACAGATTTTGATAACGTTCGTCGTGCTTGCCATGGGGTTAGGAACATATGGTACACTGAACGCAATTTTTTTACAGATCAAGCTCATAACATTTGAATCTTTTAGGCTTGTGCCTGCAGACTCAAGTTTCAGCTGTGGTTGTGTTAAATTTATTTAATAAGAGGCACACTTCTGTCGTCAAAGATAATTTTCAAAATTTGTTTGTTGCTTCCCTACTTGGTTATTGAATTTTTTTGTATTCTCGGGATCTTCCTTTCGGTAATCTTTGACAGGTTCGTTTTTCAGACACATACCATTTCGCACATGCTATGAGAAGGATCTTTCATGAGTCATGTTCATGTTGCGTGGGTTTGGTATCAAAATGGACTTCTTGAGGCGTCATCTTCGAACCTTATGGATAATCGTTTCATTAGTAACCGTACCATTGACTAGCAATTTTTTGCATCTTTCATATCCTGTTGGTTTCAAATTCAAGTTCTTCTAAGAATGAGTCAGCAGGAACTTTGAATACGTTAACTTACATCATGTGGGTGGAAACAAGTGATCTGTTGGTGGCAGACAGGTACTGTATTTTAGTTACAAAGTCTGAAGCTGATGGGCTGATGAGCCGTTGGGTAGGTTTTTTCTCACAACATCGTCTTTCAGTAAAGCAGGTATAAAGAAATCTTGTGTAACTTAGTAGAGAACAAGGTAGCGTGAGGGGTGGGCCAAGATTAGAATAATGCTGAGCTACTACTAGAATGAAGCTGCACAAATCTCACCAGGGTATTTCAATGTTATGTCCAGACTCTTGAATTAGCATTGACAGGACTACAGACCAAAAGATTTCATAACACTAATTGATATCCTAAGCGCTACTCTCTATTAAGCATGTCAACAGGCCAGAGTTGTTTTAAATATCAGAGTAGGGCGTGGTTAAAGTCACCAATTCATTAGTGGAAGTTGAGATATAAGAACGTGAGATAAAAAGTTGCTCAATGACAATACAATCATAGCCAACAATGTGCAAATCGCACCTAACCAGTTTGGTATTCACACTGTGCACTGAGCTTCAAGTGCAATTAGTATTCAAGTGGCAATTGATCTTACTTTTTGCCAATCTAGATTACTATCAGTGTTTATGGTAGTTTTGTGAAATTGAGTATATTATTTTGTACAAAATAGTTTTATATTAGGATATTGGATTAATTAATGTTGTTGTAACAACTACAACTTGTGGTTTTAGGAATTTATAATATATTATAGCTATTAATTTATTATGTGTGTTTATTTTTGAGAATCTTAAATATATAAATTATTTTTAGAAATATTGAACATCTATCTATGCTTACTATGTTTAAACTTCAGTTTTAATCATCTTTTTATTTAAAGTATTTTCAACAACATATGATCTATTTGTTAGTCTATTCCTTAGTCTATTCTAAATATTGTCATTCTACTAAGATTTTGAAAGAACATAACAATTTGTTTTGCATTTTGCACCAAATATGACTTTCAATCTCCTCTAACAATTTTTTATTAAACTTATAATAAGCACAAATTTAAGCCTGATTATTTCTTATTCACTGTGGTTGTTAATAAAAACTAATTTTATCTAATTTATTTTATAAACATTAAATGTAGATGTAAAAGGATTTGTAAAATGCAAAAAAGATGTTATATGAGAAGTTTGAAAATACTTGCTTTGAGTTGGTTTCTTTTATTGATAGAACAAAAACAAAGCTAACCATGTCAACTTTACAAAATATGTTTTATTTTTATTTTATTATTTTTTTAAATTTAATTTTATTAAAAGGTATTTGTGGACATAATATCTTTGATTGACTAAAATATAGGTTCAATTTATTCTTTATATTTAATTGGTGAAGTCTTTGTGAATTATAGAGAAATAGAGCTTATAATTTAAACTGTAGAAAAATTGAACTTATATTTGAAAAAAAGAAAGAAGTATATTCAATAACTAAAAATATTATTTTTTGATTACATATGATATAATAATAAAGAAAGCTAAAACATTCTAGCTATATTTTAATTCTAAAGCAAAATAAAAACAAAGACCAATGAATTTTATTTTATTTGTTATTTTATTTTTATTTTTACTTTGTTTTAATTTTTGTTTTTATACTTCTCATATAACTTGTCCAATACTTGATGTAAATAAAAAAAAAACCTTTTAAAATTTCTTAAGTAAATTTATAAGGATCACCAATGCTAGAATTTTCATTAAAAGTAGTTTATTGTTATCATGTCATAAATTCTATTATGATTTGGAAACAAAATTGTTATTATTTATTTAAAATATATGAATATTAATAATTTATTAATATAGCTTGCTTAAGAGATGAAGAGTTTGAGCCTCACCAAGGCTCATAAGTAGTATATATGGGTTCCTAAAAGAGGCCACAAGGCTTTAGTCGTATCTTCCTAACTACCTTCAAGGTGCTACAACACATATGGAACTTGTGCACCTCCCTTCTTACAAGAACTACACTAGCTGCTGGTCCTCCTGTTTTCTACTAGTAAAATCCATAACTTTGCATTTTTGACTTCACCATTGTATTTAAAAACATCCAATTAGCCTAGGAACCTCTAATGGCCTTCAAATCTTGCTCCATTTCTTTATAATGGCTCCCAAAGTAATAAAACTCATTTTTACCAAAGGCTTAGAAATTGCTCTAAAAATTCCTAAAATATTTTAAATAAATTCTAAATAAATTCTAAAATTATTATAATGGTTCTATAATACTTATATCAGTTGAAGGCTATAATTTCCTATTTTGATGATTTTTAAAGTAATAAAATCAATTTAAATCTACTATAAATCTTACTTTCTATATAACTAACTAAAAAGACATGAGGTTCTTTCTCATGCTTCTTCTAACTATTAACTAACATTTGTAGTTTTTCTTATAAATAATATGTATAGATACAAGGCCAATATAAATATTGACCTTAGTAAATATCCCTTAATATTCAATAATAAGTAAAAAAATAAATCTAAATCAACTAAGATAATTGCCTCCAAGACTAAATTAAATTTGTCTTAAGATTTCTATACTATTTACCATATATTGTGGTTCTAAGTATTTTAAATGTATCTTTTTATTCTAAAACAATTAATGAGTCAATTTGATGACTTACATGTATATATTAGAAACTTGTCTTATTACCTAGATACATGTCTTATAAGTTGGATATATATTGAATAGCCTGTAGAACATTGTTATATAGTTCTTTAGTTAGATATTATATATTAAGGCAAAAAAAAGCTTCTTTATTCTTCTCATTATATTTTTTGTCTTCTTATCTTAATGCAAGAGTCCCTAAGTATTTTTTATATTTCACTATCTTAATTTCTATCTTTGATTTGTCTACTTTTTTTCTTTGAGTATCATAAGAGTATATTTTTTTCTTTAAATATGAGTTATAATTCATGTCTTTGACAAAAATATGTATATCATTTATGGTATTTTTTAAATTTTTTTATGAAATATATATATATATATATATATATATATATATATATTGACTTTAGACATCTAAATAATAATTTCTTCTACATTATAATTAATTTTTCTATCTATTGTTGTCTCAGACATATATAATTACCTAGATAAAAAGTATTAGGTAAAAAATATATGTAAGTAGATTTGATAATATCTTATATTAAAGTTTTTTAGAAGCTTTATATATAGGGATTTGATTTTAGACATATTTGTAGTTGATTGATAGGTTGAAAATCTCATAAGTTAAACACGTGTCAAAGGTCCTATACAATGTTGCCATATGGCTCCTAGTTAGATAGTATATATGGAAGCAAGAGTGAAGCCTTCTTCACTCTTATCAACATCATACTTGTTCTTAGTTTATTTTCAATTTTGTTTTTTTGTTTTGTTTTGTTTTTTTTTGTTTTGTTTTTTTTTTCTTATCTTATTTTTGACAATAGCTATTATGGTTTTAATACTATACTACTTTGAATGAATATTTACTCTTCTTAAATGATATAAGAGTATTTAAAAGGTTTTATTGTTGTGATTTGTTTCTTTGATAATTTTATAAGAAAATTAATTTATGATTACTTGTCAAAGACATGAATTTCAAATAATTAAAAGGTTAATAAATTCTTTTGTTACTCTACTCCTATTAGTCTTATCTTTATTAATAGCCATTCTAATTTAATACTATATTATTTTTGAAGGATTTTTTAGTTTTTTTGAGTGACACAAGAGTACATTGATATTTTAGTTCTTGGAGGTTCATATCCTTCATACTTTGACAAGAGTCTTAATTCATTTATTTTTTTATCTTATTTTAAAAGTGAATGGATTATTCCACTTCTATTAATATCTTTTAAAGGTTATAAATTATTCACCTTTAAATAAATAATTTAGTTTTCTAACACTAATTATTTTTTTAAAGAGAGAAAATTATCCTTCTTTATGGAAATTTTTATTTGACATTAAAGTTTGGAAATTATTGTCCTCTAATTTGACTTATAGATTTATCAAGTTATTTGAAATAGAAGGAAAAATTATGGATGTTATACTTGGTAAAAGTGAGAAAGATCACAATTAGCCACTATATATGCTGTTAAATTCCAAAACCTCATTTACAATGTGGACTAAAATGATAAAGTTCTTATCAATCAATTTTAATATGGATTAAAAGACAATGTCAAAGATTTATTATTAATAATGTATAAAGTAGAAACTTTGAAACAATTTATTGCTGAAGCCATTGCATACACGAATTGATTATTTGAAAAGCATCTAGAATAAAGATTTGATTGAAGAGGATTAAGTCAAGTAATGATGAAGCTCTTAAGTTTTGAAAAACTTATTCATTAAAAGTGAAACCAATGCAAACTGATATGGTACATTTTAAACCTTTTACTAAATAAAAAAAGACTCATTATTATTAAGAAGGTTAATACTTATATTGTAGAGAATCCAAACACAATGCTCAATATTATCTAAAAAAACAATCCAATCACAAAATGAAGCTCATAGTTGCCAAAGGGGATGATATGTTAAAAAATGAATCTCTTTAGCTACAATAGGAATTGTGTGGTTGAAATCTTAAGAAACTTTTAGTAAAGATCTTATTTTTTCTTTAAATCCCTCACCTTGTTTTATAATAGAAGTTTGTTTAGGACCAAAAAATCACAAAGTCTTAGCCTTGTTGGATTTAGGAGCTTC